ATATTATACAATTTTTTTTGCCCATTACAATTATAATGAGACTGGTTACTTTGTTATTCAGCGGAAAATCATAAGAAACAAGTACGAAAGGTCAAACAAGCTTTCTGCCTGTAATTCCCGAGGCTACCACCAGAGGGGAGGAGGTGAGTTTGTTTTTTCCATATTCAAAAACTACCGACTGCAAAATATTGTAAAGAACGTCATCAGTGCCAGAAAAAACAACGGCAGATGTGTTTTTGATGAGGGGGAAAGTTGATTTTGTACAACATGTCTCATTATAATAGCTTTAATAAGTTAATTGCAAGGAGATATCAAATGAATTCCCATTAGAAAAACAACAAAAATCAGCTCTCCCTGCCCTGCTTGCACATGGAGCAGCAGACCACATTGCCAGGCTGTGCATACTGTACATTATATTGTACGAGAGCGACTGGAATACTCTCACTCCACACACTGACCTTGTGCACGCAGCATTCTCGCACCGCTCAAGAAAAGGACATTCAAGCACATGTCATTTATCTAGTGAAAATGAATTCAAACTGAAATTGATTCAATCTTCAGCCTTGAATCATACTTCAGCCAAGAAAATGCTAACCTTTCCAACACATGAAACATGCTTACAAGAAATATTTATCACATTGTAAGAAGAGTTTTTCAGAAATTGTATGTGAAAAGAGATAAACAAGAACTTTTTATGAGAGAGAAGACTACAAAAATCATTAGCCGAAATAAATAAAAGAAAAATATGAGAAAAACACATTCAGCAATTCTTCTCTTTCGGCACCTAAAGGAATAACGGTGCAATTCGCAATTTTCAAGGTGAAAAAAAGTAGATATTTCTGCGTATTTTAACCTTGTAGTGAGTGACCCAGTGGCTGTATGAGTGGAGAACCTTAACTTTAGATCACGGGTGCGTCTCCAGTGCAAGGTCTAATATGCAAAAATAATCAACTTTTTTCCACATAGAAGCTACAAAATTCCCCTTCAACTCAAAATTTGTCTAACTGATTAAAAAATTGTTTTTACTAACTGCTTTAGAGTTGATAGAGATCAACATAATGCGATGGCAGAAGTGTATATGTGAATCATTTGAAAGTCATCATATCAAAAGTACTTCCCTGGAACACAGCCTGGACCTGCTTTGCATTCCCAGGAAACGGAGAGCCGGCACGCAATAAATTATTCGCTCTCTGAATAAACTGTTGTAACATGGATCCGATTGTTTTCCACTCCAAATTGCAGTAAGGCACAACAGCCAGTCTCAACTTTGCCACGCATCCCTCACGCCAGAGTGAAGTTATCTCAGAAAAGGGCTTGTAAAAATACTGAATAACACAAACGACAGGAGTATGTCAGTGCCAGTGATTGCCATCTCCAACGTTCATTCAGCTGAAGGAAAAAAAGACAGAAGAAAACCTAGAGCGAAAGCCAGACACTAAGCTGCACAATATAAACACACATTTAGACCCCATTTTTTTGCAGTTTCTAGTGCAGTGTTCCCCAACCTTTTTGAGCCGCGGCACAGCTCTTTCATTTAAAACAGCAAAGTCAAACTCATTTTGCTCTGTGACCAAATTTAAAAACATAAGATCTTGTTGGAGCCAGAAGTATAAAAGGGGTTTAAAGGTTTTTGACGAATTAACTGTATAATTAGTAGCCGTAGTAGTTTATTTTCCATTTTTGTTTGGATGTTATTTTCCAGCAGTGTTGGGCACGTTACTTTGAAAAAGTAATTAGCAGAGGTGTGGACTCGAGTCATGTGACTTGGACTCGAGTCAGACTCGAGTCATGATTTTGATGACTTTAGACTCGACTTGACCAAATATAAAAAGACTTGCAACTCGACTTGGACTTTAACATCAATGACTCTGACTTTCACTTGGACTTGCGCCAATTGACTTGTAAAGACTTGCGTGACCCGGGCCATTTTTACCTTTCTCCGCATCTCTCTTTCTATCTATGCCGTCTCTGAAGAAACAAAGCCTCGCGGTAGTTGTAGCGCTCGCGCGAGAGTTCGAACGTGAGTTCCCCGCAGTTCGCGCAGCAACACTTCCCTAAACAAGCGGACTGCATTCACCGGTGGGTGTGTTGTCTAGGGGAGCTGGAAATGAGCGAGCTGCAGGTATTTATCGCGACCTAACGTCATACTTTGTTCTACAAACCGTAATTGATATGCTTTCACTACAGGCGCCTCATACAATTGAATCGACGCAGTTGTCACACTGTGTGCCGTGTTTTAAAGAGGAACTGGTGAGTCAAACTAGCGCTAGCCTGCGCTGCTCTGTTGGCTCTTTCTTATATTTTTCTGTGTGGGCACCGAGGCCTATTATTATGAGTATGTTTTTGCTGTGCTCCTCCTGCTAAAGTTTGCATACATTAGATAGTTGTTTTGATTATGTGCACTAAGCTAGATTAATATTTGCACTATTGTTTATGGTTCATTGATATGAGAATCAGTGCTTTGACTGATTGAATTAATTTATATGAGACATTTTATTATGTAATGATATATTGGTAATTATGAGATATTACTAATGCTGGCCCAGTTCATACAGGCCAGGGTCCTTCCCCTCCATTGGTCCCTTCAGTCCTTTGGAACAATAACCACTATGGACATTAAACTGATTATATAGATACAGGTCCTAGCCCAATACTCATATTCATATATGCTGCACTTGCTACTTCCCATTAAAAACCCCAAAGATAAAAAGTATGTTGACACGGACTGCTCTGATTTTATGTGTGGTCTGTGCATGTGTAACTGAGCCTGCATCTGGCACAACATAGTTTTGATTTACCAGCAGCCAACCACATGGAACAAACTGTTAGTCCATGGGTCAGAGACCAACGAGAATGCACCAGCAAAATGATTCCTAACATTATTTTGTTTGCCTACAAAAGTACGTGGAGACCAACAAGAAACAAATCGCGGTCAAAAAGACTCGAGAGGACTCGAAAGTCAAACCGTAGGACTTGAGACTGACTTGTGACTTGCTAAACAATGACTTTGTCCCACCTCTGGTAATTAGTTATAGTTACTAGTTACTTCTCCCAAAAAGTAACTGAGTTACTAACGGAGTTACTCCACTATAAAAGTAACTAGTTACCAGTAAAAGTAACTATTGCGTTACTTTTTCGTTTTGTTCTGGAAGATAATGTGCACCCGACGTGCGCATTTTTACCTTTAACAGTGCCAATATTTCCATCTAGAAAAGGCTGTTTTGCTGCTGAAGTCCTGTTCACTCTTCATCTCTCACTGTGCTGTAAAGCCCGCCACTGTGAATGTGGAAACACCGGTGACGAGCGGTGAGGCTGGTGAAGCACTGACTTCAGCCCAATCAGATGAACATATATATCATATAAATCAAGTGGACAATTTGTTTGGCTACAGCAAAATATGTTTTATGCCCGCATTGTTTTTTCATACAAAACGCAAAACTATGAGTTATGGGTCTTACCTTATAGCTATACCTTATAAATGACCTGCACAGTCCACTTCGGTTCAGACCAGTTCCTTGTTTAAATCCAGTTAATGGTTTGAGCGTAGATATGTAATCCTCCATTTGGAAATGAGTCCAATGAGTTTTAAAAAGTAAAACAAAACGCGTGTGTCCTCCATAAACTCCTGTGTTTTGCTAGCGGCAGCCGGGTGCATCCAATTTCTAAAATCAACCGTCTTACACTTCACCTCTCTTTCTTATCATTCCTATAGTAATTGAAAAATTACCCTATGTGCATTTTACATTATGTAAAAATGTGTTATATGTATGTTAGCCAAACCTGTTGCTGTCCTTAGCAGATAAACCAGGAAGAGCAAGGAGCTTATCGATGGAATTGTATGCAGCCGACTTCTGCGCTCACATGCGCTACTCTGTGGCTGACCTCACGGTGATACAAGCCGTGGTAGAGTGTGATTAAGACCCATATTTGTTTCAAAAACACAATTTATGAGCCATCCTCTCAACTGTAGACATGTAGACTGTAAAGGAAATATGTTTTACATCAGCCAATAACTGCTGAGAGGTTTTCTCATCCTCCCTTCTCTCATGACAACACGTTCATTGTGCGTCTTGAGTAACGCGCAGTAACGGGATGTCGGAAATGATAACGGCGTTATAGTTACTGTCAAAGTAATTAGTTAGATTACTCGTTACTGAAAAAAGTAACGCCGTTACTAGTAACGCCGTTATTCCCATCACTGTTTTCCAGTAGATTTAGATTTAACCACAACTGAGCCAAATAAAACATAATAAGTGATGTATTGCAAAACTGAAAGCTAAAACTCTAATAATATACAATTATAATTAAGTTAACATTAGACAGATAAGTAACATTTTAGACAGATACAATTATATGGTTGTTTTCCTAAGACAATAGACAATGAAGTATAACGTGCCATAGTAGCCCCTTACCATCAATGCTGCAATAAAAGATACTTAAAAAATCTCTCCGTCCACTGAAAATTGTCTTGCCTGAGTTTGACATGCCTGATTCAAAACAACCACATGGCACACCACTAGCTGAATCAGAATCTCTGACAATGCAAAATCCTTCTCATCAAAGTGTATAATATAGAGCATCAAACAGAAGTCTTTCAAATGTTCAAAAGTACAAGGTGATATCGGATAATATCCAAAAGCAACATCTCAAAGAATACTAACGACACATTGTTCTAGTGCAGGGGTCTCCAACCTTTTTCAATCGGAGAGCTACTTTTATACAACAGAAGAGGCAGAGAGCTACTCCTTTTTGCAGTCATAATACAAGCCGATGTAATAATTACCACAAAACATGGAAAACATATGGAAAATATACTATAATACTGTATGACCCAATATTTAAACTTATAATAGATATGTAACGACTCAAAATGTATTCATTCAAGATCATGGGTTAAAATCTTAATCCTTTGGGGAGCTACCTGAAAGGGGCTGGAGAGCTACTGGTTGGAGTCTCCTGTTCTAGTGGATTTCACAAAATCAGGTGCAAAACTCACTCACCTCCAGCGCCTCGAAAGTTACAAATCCGGTAATGGAGAAACCGTCGATGATGTCTTCTTCGGCGGACGTTGACTCTTTCCTCTTCCTGCGCGGGGGTCTGGGCCGGGACGAGGTGGGCTCCCTGCTCCCCTCTCTTTCCGAGTCCGAGGAGAAGCGAAACGGAGACCCCTTCACGTGGTTGTTGGTCTTGGTGGCCTTGGGTCGACCGTTTTCCCGGTTACGCTCCGACCTGGACTTCCTTTTCTTGCGAATCCCGCTGGATCGAGGGACTTCCAAGTTCTTCACGGAATACATCCTGGTTAATCCACAGGGAATCTCAAATGCAGAAAATGAGAAATATCCAGATGTTTAGGATCAATGCATTGGATCCAGTGTCAAAAGTGTAATATCCAGATTTTTTTTTTTAAAGGAAATCCAAAAAGTCACAGAACTATTCCAAGCTGAGAATATCCCCAAAGGAGGCTTGTAAAAATCCAGCTAAAAGTATCTCTTCAACAAGTTATGAAAAGTGCGTCCAAATTCCACCACAGAGCGGAGAATTTCAAGTTAAAGCCAAAAGTCTTCCCGGAGACTAGATCCAGCCAGAGCCACTGGGACCACATCTTTCCTCTCCAGACGTCTGGCCTTTGTGACCCCGCTCTGCAAACTCTCGCACTAGAAAAAAAGGAAAAGAAAACAACATTGCGAGTTCATTCAATATGCCCATGCAGAATACAGTATGTGATAGAACAATATGGATGAAATGCTAAGTCAAATTAACACACATCACCACAGCGCAAGAATCGATATTGAAATTGTGTTGTTGTTTATTTTACTGTACATTAAGATAAACATACTGAGAATAGGATTTATGACTCCAACCATTCTAGAGTGACTACAGATTGAGTTTACAAAGTCTGTCTGATCAAACAACCCAATGTGTAAGCGGTCATCCTCAGAATCAGAATTCCTTTACTGCCATGTGAGGAACAAGAAGTCACAAACTAGGGAAGTCTCTTTGGTTTTCCGTGCAAACAAGTTCAAGTAGAGAAAAGAATACGGCATGCATTAATAAACAGTCTGTGATGTGATGTTCTCCAAAGGCATCAGTTTGTCACATGCTTCGTTTTGTTCAACTCCAGATTCAGATTCATTCAGATGTATAAAAACTCCCATATTCACTGACCTTTCTGGATCTCAACACGATTAATCACAAATAATCGTTACGTACAGCCTTAATTCAGATTTTAACCGTCCTTATCTATAAGTTTGAGGTGTTATTACCACTTCTACGCCTTCCTAAATCTTATCACATTCCCCACTCTCGCTAGAACACACAAAGCAAAAAGTTATCACTACTTACTCTGCTGATATCCACAATTAAGCCTAATGAGCAGTTTAGCAGGGCACAGCCGCTATAATTGACCTGTTGTAATCATTCTAAAACTCATAACCATCAACTGCTTTGAGACACTGCCATTTTTAGCGCAATCTCTTCTCTCCGCTCCTTCATAAAAGCCTAACATTTTCCCTTTGAATAACTGCAGGGGATGCTTTGAAGTTATTCTAAAAAAGTATCAAGATGAAAGCATACTTTACTGGAGCACGGATTTCTATCTGGCACGTAATAAGAAGGCATGTGGCAGTTTGCAATGCTTTGACAATACCTTATAGGAACATATTGTAAGTCTTCTGCCTATGGTCTCCTTGTAGTGATGTGCATAAATCTCTTTAAGAAGCTTGAGCTGCTGGAAAACACACCAGCTTTCTACGTGTGCCCAGAATACAAATTGTAATCCATGACATCATACAAGTGGTGGCTGCATTCACTTTAAGGAGTCAAGTGCAGGCCTTGACAAGTAAACATTCATATTGACACCAGTCATGTCAAATCCACTATTCCACTCCAGTCTGTCATCTCCATTTACAACTTTACCCCTGAGTCATACTTTTGAACTACATTGAAATGCTCTTCTGGGACTTCTGGTGTGACATCATGCAAACGCGTGAGCCATGCACATCTACAAACCATGAAATAGAATAGAAGCTTTTGCAGCAAAGGAATGACAAGTCCATCCAGCATGCCTGTTTATAACTATGCAGCACCCATTCAGAATTCTTCATACCATGCAGAGATCAGCCTTTAAAAACAAGCCCCAAAAGCCAATGGAATGACGCTTTCTCGCACCTATGCCTTTAACCTGCCGCCCTATGCGAGGTCTCCTTTAATGGCACAATTGCACATCCCGAATAGAGCCCAAAAACAGGCTCAGCGGGGGGAAACTGTGCTGTAAGCGCTCGCCCAGGCTGCTCTGGCTGTGGAAAATACACTCTCTTTCTGTTGTCTTTCCTTTTTGTCTGGGCTCTGTAATCCAGACCAGCCCACCACGGCACAAGCGGACTGGCACTGCCTCCGTCCCCCCCGACTCTCCAAGCCTCGTTTCCCACTAAAAAAGACGCACACAACAAAAGCAAGCCTCCTCTTTCGCTCCAAGACACGTCATGCAAAACCAAGAAATGCAAACCGGTGCGAGTGAGCTGGAGCCGTCCGGACAAGTTGCAGGCCTTCGCGGACTGGGGACGCTGAAGGAGCACAAGGCGGGGAGAGGGCAAGGTAAAGCCCGCAGAGGAACGCATGGGTCTGGGCTGCTCTCTCGGATCTCAGCAGATCACAGCGGATCACATCGGAAGCTCCAGCAGCAGATCCGGAGAAGGCAGACCCGGGCGCAGGGATACAGCCATGCCGCAGTGCCGCTTTACAGGCTGCGCGCCTCCTCCTCGGCGCAAAGAAGTGCTGTCTGTGCTCTGGACGCGCGGCACAGGGAGACTACAGTGTGTGTGTGCACCGAGCAGACCGAGCGGGCTCCCACACAACTGCACGCGTTCTAATCTTTGAGTGCAAGTCCTGTGTTTTTCCTGCGTAATGACAATGATAGTACATGCGTGCGCGCTGGCATCATCCAAGTTATGTCCTCATCCAAAACACTCCCATTCGCCTATTCACCTGCATCTACAATGGCAAAATATACTGTATCTGTGGCATTTAAATTCTTAAAGCTCAAGACGAGAATGTTATTGACCTCTATTTTACCAGAAAAAACCCACTGAGATTTTAGAATATCTTTATGAGGGGAGTCCTTGCCCCAGAGTTAAGGTTTAGCATTGTTTATTGTATATGCTTTCAGTGGTAGGGGAAACCGGAGCACCTGGAGGAAATCTAGACAAACAAGGAACATGCAAACTCCACACAGAAACTCCCTGTCCGGAGATGGGACAGAACCCAGGACCGTCGTGCAGGGAAGCGAAACTGTCAACCACTCAGCCACCGTGCTGTTCTATACAACTTTTGCCAGAAAAAATAAGACATATAAAGTAAACATTCCCTTGCACTTTGAGAGGACTTGCTTCTCCACAAACATGGCTCGTAGGGCGTATCCACACGTGTTGGTCTGGTTGCATGGTTCACGTCTGGAAAAATTGGATTCACAAGATAAACTGACTTAGTGACTATAATGGACACTTGTTTGTTTGTTTTAGGTCATGGGTGTGTTACATTAATTCACGTCCACACAACAACAAAACATTTTCCTCCAAGTGAACCAAAATTGGTCCATGTTAAAGTGAACCAAACCAACAAGTGTGAGCACATCTTTAAATACAACTTGTTTTTGTCATAATGTTATGCGGCAAAAAGCGTCGTTTTTGTTTGTTTACATTTGTACTGAACCATGTGACATCAAAACAGGAGGATATGCTGTGGTCAGATGCAATTACTGATGTACAGCCCTTAAACCGAACCAACATGGAGATTCTGTTCTTTACCATGCACTACCATACCATACCATTCCAGTCAGAAAGCCTTTCAGTGTGGAGTTTGCATGTTCTCCCTGTGTCTGTTTCCCCTATATCACTAAAAACATGTACAATAGGTCTGACATGCGCTTCCTGTATATACGGCGAAGAGGACAAATGCCCACAACAATTGTAAAGCTCTTTGTGACTCTGGTCTGTGAAAGGCGAGCTATATAAATAACTTACTTCGTATAAAACACCACGACTAAAAAATGCACATATGTGTTGTGCGTCTGGCCATCTGTGAACTACACCATTCACACTAATGAGCTTTCCCGCGAAGCTAATACACTGAGATTCGTGTTATGCCAAAGCTAGAGAATATATATTTTTTATTATGCTGAAGTCCCAGTTTTATGTTCTCATTATGCTAAAGACAGAGATTTGTTAGATCATTTTTATTTATTTTATTTAGTATAGCCTCCTGAGACCCTGCGACCTCATACGAGGACATTACATTTTTGCCTCTTGGCACAATGATACTCAATTTTTTACATCCTTGACCTGATGGCCACATTTAGGGACACTGCCCGCGCCATCTTGTGGTGATATGATAGAATTACACTTAAGGCAGTAGGAAAAAAATGGTGGCAATATCAGCAAAAGACGTCTACAAGAGTTTACAGAAGAAAAATGCCCCAGGTAAAAATTCTATCAACATTTTATGAATGAAATCCATTTTTTTATGCACAATAATGTCTCTAGCTTCATATCGAGTTTGAAATTTGACAAATTTTGATTGTAGTAGCAGGCTAGGATGTCAGTAAAAGTGAAGCACTCGTTTGAGGACGCTAGGACTATGTACCGCTATCTGTTTAGCTAACCGTGTGGAAGATTTAGATGAAGTTACAGTTGTAAATAGTTATTTTGAATCACACATTTGCTTAGTTATGTGGTTTACAGTTGTAAATAGTATATTTAAGTACTAAGTGGTATATGCTAAGTATTGTTTAGTGTTGCTAAATTCTAAATCATAAACAATATAGCTAGGCTATAGCTAGCACATGATAGCCAAGCTATGAAGTGTCACTGATATACTGTAGATTTTGATGTTGGTTTTTAACATTATCATTACAGGCACACTTTCATTGTCAAGAGCAGAACAATTGCTGTTGGCAATTGCAGACAACTCTGAGATAGAGGACTTCTCAGATGGGGATGATTGTATCATCATCTCATACCTGTCAGTCATCTTCTGGTGTTTCCCGCGGGGAGAGGCGGCGAGCTGGGGTGGCCATACTCATTGCCCCCCATCTCAGCCGCCACGTGTTGGAGTTCTCCCCGGTGAATGAGAGGGTCGCGTCCCTCCGCCTCCGGGTGGGGGACAAGTCTCTCACTGTTGTGACGGCCTACGGGCCTAACGGCAGTGTAGAGTACCCGGCCTTCTTGGAGTCCTTGGGAGGGGTACTGGACAGTGCACCGCCCGGGGACTCCGTTATTCTCCTGGGGGACTTCAACGCCCATGTGGGAAACGCCAGTGACACTTGGAGAGGGGTGATCGGGAAGAACGGCCCCCCTGATCTGAACCCGAGCGGTGTTCAGTTGTTGGACTTCTGTGCCAGTCACGGTCTGTCCATCACGAACACCATGTTCGAGCACAAGGGTGTCCACCAGGACACCATAGGCCGGAGGTTGATGATCGACTTTGTTGTCGTATCATCTGACCTTCGACCGCGTGTCTCGGACACTCGGGTAAAGAGAGGGGAGGAGCTGTCAACCGATCATCACCTGGTCGTGAGTTGGATCCGCTGGCAGGGGAAGAAGCCGGTCAGACCTGGCAGGCCCAAGCGTATAGTGAGGGTCTGCTGGGAACGTCTCGCTGAGCCCCCTGTCAGACGGACTTTCAACTCACACTTCCGGCAGAGCTTCTCCCAGGACCCAGAGGAGGGGGACATTGAGTCCGAGTGGACCATGTTCTCTTCCTCTATCACCAATAAAGCGGCTCGTAGCTGTGGTCGCAAGGTCTCTGGTGCTGGTCCCGGCGGCAATCCCCGAACCCGGTGGTGGACACCGGCAGTAAGGGATGCCGTCAGGCTGAAGAAGGAGTCCTATTGTGCAATGATGGTTCGTGGGACTCCTGAGGCAGCTGTCCAGTACCGGCAGGCCAAGCGTGCCGCGGCCCGGGCTGTTGCAGAGGCAAAAACCCGGGACTGGGAGGAGTTCGGAGAGTCCATGGAGCATGACTATCGGTCGCCCTCAAAAAGGTTATGGCAAACCCTCCGGCGCCTCAGGAGGGGGAAGCAGTGCTTTGCCAACACCGTGTATGGTGCGGGTGGAGAGCTGCTGACCTCGACTGGGGATATTGTAATCCTAACCCTAACCCGGAGATGGTAGCCTTGAAAAACCCCATGCATTGCAGAGCACAAGACTGCATTGGAAAAGCCTGTGTCCGATGCATGACATGCAATGTGTACCTGTGCTTGCAAAGTGAATGCAACTGCTTTGCAGCATTTCGCACTTGCCAATAGGGCTCTTCCAAACAGGCAGACAGATTGCTTTCTAGAAAAACAGAGGGAGCTAGTTTGAAAAAAGCCCCAGTTCATAAGCTGTTCAGCAGAATTTTACTGTTTTAGGACTGTTAATAATATTTGCCATTATTTGTTCTAGTATTGTATTTATCAATTCAATTCAGCCATATTGAAGGCTTGAAATAGACAGTTTACACAGTATTTTGCGGTTTTATTTATGTATAGCCAATTTTTTGTCATGTGGATGAATGAAGAAAAAGGGAACCCAAATTGCAGGACTGAAAATCAAAGTAATTTAATAAAATAAATCCAAGGTAATGTAAAAACAGAACTGAAGACAGGACAAACATTGTGGAGACAATGGACGGACAACAAGTGAGGAAGGGCACAGGGTATATATACACACACAGGGACACACAGGTGAATCACATTAGGGCGGGGAAACAATCAACAGGACAGGCAGGATTCAAACTCAACCAGGTCAAAATGTCCACACCATGACATTTTTAGGCTTTGAAGATAGAGCTGTTTGGATTTTATGTCTAACTTTGATGTTTACATTTTTCAAATAAACTGTTATATACTATTTTAGACCAATGGAGTCTATTTGTATTGTATAGTAAGGTCGACCCACTGTCCTCATGTGAGGACATTGATTTTTGAGAGAAGTACTAATTGGATCAAGCTGAAATTTTGAATTTCAACTAATTAGGACCTTCCGGCCTAAAAGATCATACATTTTCTCTTTAGGTTATGAGAGACCCACTGTCCTCATGCGAGGACATGTTTTTTCTCAAAAACTACTTCCTGTACAAAATCACAATTTAGGTATTATACTTATTGGGTCCTACTTATCCTAAATAGCAAAAAAATATATAAAATGCACACCAGACAAATGCTCGGGTCTCAGGAGGTTAAAGTCAGTATTCATTATCAAACGGATAAAGGATATATGTCAATCTTAAAAACAAATCTGCAAAGAGAAAATCAACCTCTTAAATCATCTAAAAAGAGCTTCTTCTATCAAAATTAAGGCCTGCATCAGTTTTGGATTCGGTGAAATATTAAAACGATAAATATTAAAGATGCTTGTCAGAATTCTCTGCAAAGACGTATTTGTAACAACAAGTTTTCTAGCATCTTAATGAGCTATTACCGTGGTGTGATTTATGGTTTTGATTTTGTTTTGCCTTTGAGGGAGAACAGGCGGATTAGGTAAGCACTTCTAAATCCATAGAATGCCTCTTTTGCCGATGGGAAACACACGCTCACACCTTCTGCCGACGACGTGATGCAGTTTAGATCTGTTACAAGTTCATCAAGAAATGTCATTTACTGTCTTTATGTCTGCAGGGGGCTGGTGTTATTTTCCCATAGTCTCATATTCAAGTCAAAGTGACGCCGATTTGGACCGTTCGCAGCTGTCACGGAATCAAAGCAAGTAGTAGTAGTAGTAGCTATAAAAATGGCATTATAGAACATTCAGAAAGTTGGCAGTGATTTAAATGGTTTTACGTCTTTATAGCTCATCACTTGGGATCGGCACTTTTGTCTCAGTATCAATCAGTT